AGTACCACAAAATCAAATAGAATTGTTGCGCCTGGCGTATGAGTAACAAGCGCACCGTCGACGCAAAATCGTAATAGAGGCACATATGTCTGCAGTAGAAATGACATAAGTGCCCAATCTATATGCAAAGGTTTAACTTTTTCTGCTATTTTAATAAGGTAAACACTGCGAGGTATGGATAAGGTATGGATATTTTTTGTCGTTTTTATCTCATATTCCACGCAAATTGCCTTAGTACATGAAAAGGCAAAAGCTTAATCCATCCCGTCGAATTCAAGTAATCTAATAGATCTGAGATTATTACTTATGAACAATCTGACAAACTGTGAAAAAAGTACTTCCTGTAAATTCATAGAGCAAATGCTTAGTTTTTTCTTTTTCCTGTAAGTTTCAACAACTATACAGTCTACAAAGAGTGCTATATGGAATGCACACTTTCTCTGCATAGGTTTCTATACACAAGTGATGAGAGAGAACTACAGTAAAGCTTACAGTTTACGCTTTTGTTTTTGTTGAATTCATAAAATCTAGTCTTTTTATATAAGGTCCATGTTAACCGAGAAGTTACACATAACCCATTGAAGAAAATGGAGGCAAGTACTTCACTTGCCGTCACTTGCCTCTCTACATGCTTTAACTAGCTTTGATTTTATGATGCAGAATTGAGGGGCTTTAATTGCTGCTTGCTGCTTTAAAATGTCTACTGAATAAATAATTTATCAATCTCTATCATTCCATCAAGTCAATTTTATACACTCAAACAAACTTTTATAAGGCGTAAAAATTTACTTCTTTCTGTACATAAAAACTACAAATCAGATTTAAAAAAAAAGAAAATGAAATGCGTAATTTAAAATAAAAGTGTCACTGGATTTGAAAGTTTTTATAGAAAACCAAGGTTTGAATATTTGCAATGTTTAAGGCATTAAAGGTAATTAAGGTAATTCATATTTATTATTACATGGTTATTTTTAGCACAATTTTAGATGAGAATACAATGGACCTTGAAATCTCACTTATGATAAGCGTACTTTGATAACAAATTACCGTCTTCCCTCAAACCATACGTTTATGCTTTTAAATTAAAAAATGTAGAGCCAAAAGAAACTGAGGTTGCAGTCTGTTGTTGGGAACATCAGCTGGCGTTAGCCAGTGCACCAATTGTCTTCCATTAAAGTACCATAAAAGTTATTAAAAGATGTGTTTAAGAATAACATGAATATATTCATTGTCAATAAATATAAAAACATTAAATAAAATAAAAATATAAAATAAAATAATATATTAAATAAAATAAAAATAGATTTATTATCAAAATAAATCATAATATTAATATATCGCAATTGATATCGTTATAAATATTTCAATTAAGTTTCAAGTGAATTTTTGTTCAAAACGCTGACATAAATTATTGCAAACCAAAATTTTCGAAGACCAATTGACATATTTCCGCATTTTACAAAAAACGTCATAAATATGAAAAACTTAAAAAACAAAACAAAACACTTTAAAAACCAATTTAACTCAAATGCGGAGATTGTGTAATATTATTAATTTCATTAACGCAAACAGAACCGCAATAAACAATTGTCAAAATACAAAAGCTATGACGGGTCATACCAGTTTGCCGATTGGCTGGTTGGCCGACTGGTTTCCAATAAAAATGTATCTACTAAATAAACAAAGTATCTTTTTTGCACTCAGCAAAGTCAAAAATTATTTTAATTAAAAATGCATTTGCATTAAAAAATTAATTGTTAATTAATGTGACAAATGTTTTGCAGAGTGCAAATTGAAAAAATTAAATTTTGTTTATAAAAAATAAATTAAATACGTGAAGTATGAATTGTTAATTGCTTTAATTTACATCGGCAACCACAAGGACTGTGCATTCGATGCGATTCGATGCGATTTACTGCAAAAGTTTAACAGTTGACGATGTGGCAAAAAGTAAACAAAAATAATATAAAAAAAATCAATGAAAAAATAATATTAAACAAAGGCCAACAATGGAGTGGAAAAAAGTTAATAATATTTATGATGGGTCAATAAAGCAGCTGTCAGGGTTAAATAAGTGTGAAAAATATTAACAACAATGATTTCAGTTGAAATTGCAATTACACTGCAAACATTTCTGTTCGGAACTGAGAGTTCATCATACGCCACCTACACCGCTGTTGCTATAAGTACATGAACGAATATTATTTGGGTGGAATTGTAAGTATATATAGTATTCACTACATACGTATATACTAGATTGCTTGGCATATGTTCTAGTATGCCATATAGCTAATTCCTCGTCTTAAGCAAACGGTATTGTTAGATATTAGTTGAAGGATGACGTGAAATTAAATTCCATTTCATTAACAAGTGGAAGTTTATAAAAATAACGATTTAAAGAAATAATTAATTCGACAGAAATTGATTGATAAAACCATTAAGAGTGGAGATATAAAAATGGCAGAAATTGAACATTCCAGTTAAAACTGAATTATAAACCGGCATCCCTAGTAAACTGATATGACCATACGGGTTTTCTGTGATCGGTGTCAGAATCCATGTTAGTATCCAAATCAGTCGATAGCTCCTGTACGGAGATATTTGCATGGTTCCATTTCTATCTGGCTTTAATAACAATACCTATCATTATTAAGACATCGAAACATTGCCGAAACATTGCTATTAATGTCACACGTAGAGGAGCAGGCGCACAATTAATAGGATTGTAGATTAGCTAATACTGTATCCTTACCATAATTACAAAACTATGGTCTTATATGTACTAGTATATTGAGTATATTGAGAATTGAGGCTTAGGTACTTAGTATCTGACCGCTTAGTTGCCTTCAAGCTAATAGTTCTATGAAATCGTTTGGTTTCAATGTATGAAATACGACTCGAAATAAGTTACAGTTTCAAACTAAATACGATTAGAATCCATAAGACTGCAGTGGCAGGTGGATTGATCAAACTCTTTAAAGTCTACAGCCATACAATTCTTGTTAAAGATTTGTTGAAAAAGACAAGGACGGGACATCCGTTGTAGTGCTTATAATAATGATGACACTAAAGTGCAAAATCAAAAATAATAACTTTATTTTTGCTGTGAAAATTAGATTATGGTATTTCTTTATTTAAATTAAAAATAAAATTCATGGTTTTTGAAATACTTGCAATAATGGTTCAGAGACGTAAAGACAATTCCCTAGCCAGTGTGGGTGAGAAGATTAGAATGTTTCCTTAAAGAGAAAAAGCAGAACTTCACCTAAAAAATATGTATGTATGCCTAAAGAATTACTTATATTACATTGTTTAAAAGAGAATAAATAGCAACTAAAACGTTACATGTATCAACAGAATATTGTCTTATCATTTGACAGAGCAGTGGCATTTAAACAAGCTAATAAAGAATATACGATGCAATATAATCAGATTAAACATTCAAACCATCTATTTAAGCTGCTTAACTATAAAAATAATTGAAAGTTTTACTTCATCTCCAAATATTTTATTTCGACACAAGATTATAGTATCTCTTTTGCAAGCTTTAGCAATCTGGTTGACTAACAACCTGTAATAGTGGACCATATCATATTCTCGGTATAATCTTCATTACTGACTTTTTTAATACGAGACAGAAAGACATAGTTCCAAAAGAAATATAATACATTGTAACATAACGTTATCATTTAGTAACCGAATATTTTTAACATATTTTAACATATTTTTGTGAAATTGTAATCAACAATATGCATTTCAGGAAGCCACAGATAGTAAGAAAAAAAGATAAATTAAAAAAAAATCGCAATTCGTTAGCAATGACATCCAATTTTGTTAAACTACAAGTTTCTATGATCTTGCAGCAGCTGCAACAAGCACCGTAACAGATATGTATTACCGATGACAACTCTCACAATTTTCCTACAAAAAGTAAATAAAATCTAAACTTAGAAGTATGACAGGATTTGCATATGATTTAAACCAAAGCCTTCACATTTTAGAAGGACGGAAAGAAAAGGAAAAAATACTATTTCACTGACTTGCAGTTAAAATTTAGTTTACATAAGCTACTATGATAACTTTTAGGTATTGATTGACTTGTCAACGCAGAAAATATACACACAAAGGCATACATACATTGGACTACAGGAGATATGCAAATATGCGCCTAAATTTATGCCACAAAGTAATTTTAAAATACTTCATTCAACGAACTCAACAGACTCAATGCATTATGAATCGTGTTGCGACAACAAAGCAACATGGATTCAAACTCAACTGGGCAGAGTCGGATGATTTTGAATTGTATTGAACAAGAATAAGGTGAAGTGTATTCAGTTGATTTGATTTGGTTCTGTCGTGTCGTATCATGTCATATGCAGTCAAGGCAGCTGACGTAAATGTTGACGTCGTTTATATAAATCCGCATAAGGACTCTCATATCAGGGAGTGATATACAATCATATAATATATATTTGTATGGATTCATATACATAAAAATGATATAATAAGTAAACTGATTGAATAAACGCCAGGACATCCACTTTTACACGCCCACATTGTCAACAAAATGTCATCTTATTAAATAAATATATGCTCACGTACGAATATGCCTAATACAGGGTTCTACGGTGTTCGTGTGTAGAATTTATATATGCATCTTTTTTGATTAGAAAAACTTTCAGAAATTACTATTTTGACCATAACATCATTTTCTTAAAAATCATAAATCAGTTTGGCTTTTAATAAATTCAATGATAATTTTCTGTATAAAATAGATAATTGTTTTTCTCTGCTTACTAAAATTACACTAAAATTACATATTAACGTCTCTCTAAAATAAATATATAAATATTTATTTTATATATAATATATATATATAATATATAAAAAATGTGGAAAAAATATGTTATTTTTATTGGTTATCAATGATAAATCATACTTGAAGAATAGAAATATTGAATTAATTTACTAAAAAACTACGAAATCATTTTACTTACTTAAGTAGTTGCATAAGTAGTTTACAAATTTCACAAAACGTAGCTGCAAAAAGAAGAGAGAACTATATTAGTGGCTGTCATTCAATAGTATTAGAGCTTTTGTTCATATGAAAACTAGTTTAATATAAAATATAATATAACGTAAATATCTAAGAAAATCTGTAACATTATAATGAGAGTAAAATATGCAATTAATCCATATAAAAGTGATTTTTGACAATGCGAAATCTGAAATTATGACATATTTATCTTTAGTTCCTAGTACGTACCTATAATACATAAAAACTCACATATGATTTTTCTCTTAACAAATATGTCCCACACTAAAGCACCCTGTACAAATAGGTTCCTTGCAGAGGAAAGTCGAATCATGCCGCCATATCAGACAATTCATTTAGGTTTTGTGTGTGTTTGCCTAAAGCAATGTTTGCTTAGGGCCGCATACACATTGAAGCACTGATTGAAATCCGACCAAGCATCAAACGCACCAAGAAGTGAGGACCATATTTGCTTTCCCATAACAACGACGCTCTAATATATTCCATCCGTTGAGTTTTTGTTTTGTGTTAATTTGCTAGTAATAATAATTTTTCTTAAAACAAATTGAAATTGGATTATGAACATAATGCCAACGCATCCAACCCACCCACATCGCATTAACATTGGCACATCTCTGGAAAAAGTGTAAATAAAAATAGCAACGGCTGGGATAAGTAAGCGACACAGTGAAGATTGCCAAGTCGAATTTATGTCAGCTTTGCGATTCACTCTGACGAACTCTGCTTGTTGTTTTATCGTCAGCATTTTTCTGATTCTTTGTCAATTGATAGACTGCTTAGCAACACTTGTCGATATGTGAGGATGTCAGTATTTTCCCTGACATCCTTAATGACTAATGGTTATGGGTTCTGGAAATCATTTTTTTTGCGATTCGCTATTGTTATTGTAAATTTAAATGCATTCAAAACACAAACGAAAACTAAATTGTTTACTCTATTATTTAAGGTGATATTTATATGATTTCTGAATGCCTCACTGTTGATCTGGAAAAAATTAAGGTTGTCTTTTATTATATTCATTAGTGAAATCCCGAGGGTTAGTTAAGTTGGTAACTTGAAAGCCAGTATTGGATACAATTGATGATGGCTTTTTTATGGCTGGAATTATTTATTTTTATTTTATGCGTTGCGTCTTGACTTATTCTTAGACGCGTTAATGTCCTTATAGAGGTTATGGTAATGTTAATAGCGGTGTTGTTATATACGGAATTAACTTATATAGAATTAATCAATTCTGAACTGAATTTTCCTTTTTGTATACTAATTATGTACATATTTGACTAGCTATTTGGAATTTGTTAATATTTTTTTAAAAATATTCTATATAAATAGTAAAAGGGTTATTTGATATTTATATCTATTTATAATCTATGAGTAAAATTAAGTAGTTAAATGCACAATTTCAGAAATGTTCTGAAATGCACAAATGTTCATAAAAACACTCCAATCATTTTGGGTTCAGACTTTGACTCCTTAAACTGATGTTATTATGCAATATTTAGAGACATTTAAAAGAAGAGAGGGAATTTAGAGAGGGTAGTTTAGTTCAAATGCATACTCAACCTGCTGTGCCCCAACCAGTAATGAAGTGCAGCTGCTTTATTCTTCCCACTGCGAACGTGTACTTGAGCAGTAAGACATTCCCGCAAAGCTGCCACATAAGCTGATCAATAAGCACGCATCAATAGGCGGGCGGTCATGCCGTGATAGGCTGAGTGCACAACACAATGAATTGTACCCGTAAAAAATAGCCGAGGTAAAAAAGAATAGCTTTGGCAGAATTTATTCAATCATGCCAATGCAGGAACAATAGTACCAGACAAAAGTGTGCCTATACTAACTGAGGCAACGAGAGCTTGCATTATGTATTTTATTTAATTGCTGCATACTAAACATATCAAGAGTGGAGCTCACATAAATAATTCTACACATACTTACAACAGGTGTAGAATGGTGTGAAGTTACCAGGTCCTTTAAAGCCACATTAATGCATTACAGTCAAGACCAATTGCTGTACACTATGGCTAAACATTAGAGGGGCATGTTGTACTAGTTGTACTAGAATCAAAAGACATGAATTGTTGGCCAAGAGTCACTCAGGAAAACACAGCAGGAGAGTTGACATGGTTTTTCATTGAACTGCAGATTTGCACTTTTTTCACTTTTATTTATCTTTTTTGTGCTACACCTTTAAACTTCTGCCAGCAGATTTCCTTTCATTATGCATGAGTAGGGAAACTTTTAGTGTCCTAGCAAAAGGGGATGTCTAATTCACAGGTTAATGGGCGTCAACAGAAATTACGGAATAAGTCAGCCGGTGAGGTGTATATACTATTTCCTGCCTTTAAGGCCAGCCAGCGACGATGTTCGAAAACTTTTGGCACAATTAATGTGTAGTAAATTTATTTAATTGACGACTTGCACGCAATAATTTATAGCCAAAGACATATTTGTGTGTGTGTGTAGGGTGTGTAGTTCAGTGGCAGGAAATATGCAATAAGTCCTAGAAAAAGTATGTTGCATTGTTTTTGTAGATTGTTTCGTTGTAATAAAACATTTTATAAACTACATCGAGCACAGCAGGCGGTCAACAATTAAGTGCAGAAATTTCACTATTCAATTATGTAAAAAGCACTAAAGCAACATCAGAAAAGTTATTACCTGCAGTCAGTCATGAGTACGTAATTAATCGTAATGGCAATAATATATAATTAATAAAAAATAACTCAAAAATAATTACGAATCGCTAAAGAAGTTAGCTTTGAAATTTGCGAAGCTAAGATAATCTTCCTTCGGATCATTTCAAAACTTCTCAACAACAATTTTTTAGAATAAATTCATAAGTCGAGGGGCATTATACTAGATTTAATACTATTTTTAAAATCGATACTTTATTTAGTTTGATTCGCTCAACAACTGTAATGAATAAATAAATGATAATATGCGTTAAAAGTCGATGCGCTATATCAATTCTTTGTATTTTAGGTACATGAATACTGATCGACTCTATTTCTAATATCGCCTAAAATTTTAACTATACATAACTGCATATCTGGAGGATTTGTTCCTCCGTTTACTTCACCTAACCTATCTGAACCCAAAAGTTACCACAAATTCATTGATATAGAAAATTCTCATCCACAAGAATTTTTATCTGATCCCGTAGACTTTATTTCAGGTACATTATTATATATTATTATAACCCATTTTAGTAATAAATTTAATATTCTAAAATTGATGCGTAGTTTCTTGAAAGTTCTTAATAATAAAAAACAAATTCATTTTAATTATTCAATTTATATGAAAATTTTTGAATAAAATGAACTGATTAATAATTCTAACAAATGTTCAGAATGATTCTTTGGTTCAACCGAACCTAAAGGCTAGCATGAGCTAAAACAAACTAACTGACAGTAAATAAGTAACAGTTTACAACATACCTATAATATATTCATATTAAATTAACATATTGAGTGTTTGACATGCGATTGCATATTAGAAAGGCTTGATAGAGCCTCTAACGACTTTTATTGGGAAAGAAACTGTACTTCCGTAACGTCCCATCATTGCCTAGGAGAGGATGTAAAATTTTTAAGGGCATAGCTCAGTAATAAATAACCTGACAATTCTGTTTTTCATTATAATTATTAGATTGCTTATTCTTAATGAAATGGGATAGTCATGGCTTCTCAAAAGGATGCTGTTCGTGTGTGTGATATTTTTGATTTCTATTTTAAGATGTTCCTTTAAGTTGACGAAAAGATAGTGTCTTATCAGAGGTATCACAAAAGGCCATAATTTGTGTTCAAGTGAACTTTGTTGCACAAAGTTGTCATTCCAGCTTGAGCCATTCTATTTATGATTAAGGAGTACAAATAATACATGAGAATTAAATGTCTGAACACAAAGTTTTGTTGATGAATGAATATAACACATCAGTGTTAAAAATCTTTAAGGTCATGATTTCAAAATAAGTCTTAACCTAACAATCATTTCAAAATTAAATTTACTTCGTTAAACCTCAAATCCTAATAGTTAAAGGATACTGTTGAACACTTTGAATGAAATTAAAATATATACGGGATGCATTCTAAAGTGAACAGAATTTATTCATTACTGATATATTCCGGATGCCCTCTACATCAACAAAGCGTTTTCATTAATCGAAAGATGAATTTTTGAAAACGTGAAACTCAATCAGAATAGTTTTAGGTCGGCAGTCAACCTTAATGAGTTGATCGTTATCCATAACTCTAGCAACTACATGTCTGGTCGATATCACTAAGGAAGTCGGAACTCGGAGAGATCTTAGTACTTAGTACTGTTTGTTTTCAGCATTGTTTTTGCTAAATATTATTCATAATATGTAATAATCAAGCCATACTCAACTCAGAAATGATTAACAATCATGTTTCTGAGAATCAAAATAACTTAAAAGTAATATATTTTTTCATTTTAATTTCTAAAGTAATATGTTTGAAATGTGCCTCATTGACACGTTTAAAGATAGGATTAATACAAAATTAATGGTTTAATTAGGGTACTAAATTTCCATTGCCAAATTATCGTCATCCGAGCCAGTAGTCGTACTTGATAATTTAAAGTTTCGACTTCATATTAAGACCAACAATAAAATGCAGGAAATATGTTGGTTCACTGACTTTGTCAGATAAGAAATTATTTTAGAATAGACATAAAATAGTTTTCATTGCTTTTAATTTAATTCAGCGCACACAGGTAATCTCGGTCAGGCGTCTGCGTTTGAACAAAAGCCTTTAAGTTAAGATAAGCGATAAGACACATAGCAAACGTGGGCGCAGCCAAAACTCATACGCACTGCGTGACTACATTAAGAAAGCAAAGCAACGGCAGCTGAGATAAGCGATCTTCTGTGTTATACAATATAATTTTACTTATTGTTGTAATTGCCACCGCCACTCCCACTGTTATTACGAGCTTTTTGTTACACACTTTATCAGCACAT